CCTTCGCCGGACATTTCTTTACTCTTCTTCATCCCTTTCGCCGGAAACATTAGCGTTGGTGCAGACGCTCTCTCTCTCTCTCTCTCTCTCTCTCTCTCTCTCTTTCTCTCCTCCCCCCCCCCTCGCCGGAAACAGTAGCGTTGGTGCAACCACGGGCGAAAGTCAAACATATATTGATCATCAGCTCTTCTCCTCAATCATGACTACATCTGTCCAGAAAGATTGCTCGTATACATTCACGTCCCCGACAAAATGCTTGTATACCTCGTGGTGCTAAATCCTTTACTGATCGCGTAAAAGCACACCATCTGTTCATCTCCGCAGAAGAAACACAACCCACCATATATCATGCCTGTATCCGACCCGAAAGTTTGCTTGAATGCATTCACGATGAGGGAGATGAACAGGAAGACGGTTACCGATGTGAGAACTCTATGCTCTTCATACTTCCTTCCCTACTTTATCAATACACCAGAAAGACAATGCTTCTCCTTACCTCACTTCCCCCGATCTCTCCCCTTCTCTCTCCGCCAACGTTAGATCTTCTATACACAAGTTGGCACAATACCAGAGGTCAATAGACACCACTATTTACTTCAGCAAACGTCCCCACCTTGAATAGGGTGAAAGAAAGGAGAAAAAAAGTGAGAGCGGAGGAAGTGGGGTAGGTACGGAGCAGACAATGCCAAAGGCCCAAAGCTGATGAGATAGAGAGAGAAAGAGAAACGCAGTCAAGCGAGCATCGAAACAGGAACAAGAACAGATTGGATGCTGGAAGAATACAAACGGAGGGAAAAGAAAAGCGGTGAAAATGAAAAGGTAAAGCAATTGGCAAAAATCAATCAATTACGAACGAGGTAGGGGAACAAATAAGAGAGACCTACCGCTGCTATCTGTTGGCCCCGAATCCATAATTGTAGACTCTCAAGCTCAAAGTGCGAGAAGAAAGGAGCGCCGGTCTCGAGGGGAAGAGAACGGCGAATCTCCTCTCTCTCTCTCTCTCTCTCTCTCTCTCTCTCTCTCTCTCTCTCTCTCTCTCTCTCTTCCCCCCCTTGTCTTGTAGCACCGCTTGAGCCTCCACTCCTTCACTAGGCGGTCTTTCCGCTCCCCGCAGGACAGACGCCCCTTTCTTCGTTCTCCGCTTCGGCGGCCTTCTCTCCTCCACGGAGCTTTTTTGTCGCCACTGAAACCACAATCAATCCGATGCACCGCAGGCAAAGTAAGTAATCAGACACACACAAGTCCCATTAGAAACGAGGCATGCACCACCGGCAAAAAAAAACAAAAAAAAAACAAAAGAAAACAAAAAAAAAACACAAAGAAAAACAAAAAAAAACAACGAAACGAAGCGTCTACCACCGGCAAAAAAAAAAAGAACGACAAAGTCGCCATAAGCGTACACGGGGACGATAAAGCGCTTCACATCACTCACCTACCTTCTTCTTGTGCTGTCTGAAGACCTCTCTCTCTCTCTCTCTCTCTCTCTCTCTCTCTCTCTCTCTCTCTCTCTCTCTCTCTCTCTCTTTGTGTGTGTGTGTGCGTGTCTGTCTCTGTGTCTCTGTCTCTGTGTGCGTGTCTGTGCGACAAACCCGAGAGCGCACACGCACACGTAATGAAAGACAAGACAGCCAGCGGAAGACAGTGAACGATGATGAGGTTTTGGAGATAAACAGAACAAGGGCTAATTACGAAAGCCGCCCGCCCGTTAGAAGTGAAGCAAAATTACCAAAGCCGCCCGGGCGCCCGTCCGTAGGGAAGTTGGAGAAAAGATAAAAGGAGGAGGGAGACAAGAGAGAAAGGAAGAGAAGAGACGAGGCGAGATACGAGCAAGGACAGAGAGAAAGAGAGAGAGAAGGGAAGAGAAGAGGCAAGAGACGACGAAAACATAAGGCGCAACACTGTTCACACCACCCAGACCACCGTCACTGCTTCGCTCGCGCGTGAAGACGAGAACGTGGGTTTCATTCCCATTACCAGAAAGAAAAAGACCGGGACGACGCCGCGCTGCGCTGCGCTACGCAGCAGGAAACCGGGAAAAAACGCAAAATATGAGAAATCAGAGGGCGGAGGAGAAACTCGATGGCAGCCTTCGGGGAATGAACAAATATAAAAAAGGAAATGAACAAAACAAAAAAAGAGGCCACATACAAAGTCCGCTGGGCCGAACGAACGGACGCACGACCGCCTCCCCTCCCGGTCGCACCACAAACAACTCACCGACCAACTCCAACTCCCTCTTCGCGGTGAGCACCTCGCTCTCTCCTCCTCTCTGCGCCCGCACTCGACACACACACACACACACACCGTCAACAGGATGACCACAGACGCCAGCCTTGGGCAAAACCCAGGACCAATCAACTCTTGAACGACAGCAACAACATCAATCTTGTAGTACTGCATTTTCGTAGGGGCGACGGGAGGTAATACCATAGACGGAAAAAAAAAAAAAAAAAAAAAAAAAAAAAAAAAAAAAAAAAAAAAAAAAAAAAAAAAAAAACCCATAGACGATGTACCATATATATCGACGACGGCGACGACGACGTGACACCATATCATACCACAGAGAGGAAGGGAGCGACGACACAAAGCAAACAGCTAGTTATCGCAAAGAGCAGAAATGGGGTACTCCTTACCCCAAAGAGGTATCCTTATAACCCAAAGACAAGAGCCGAAATCCTACTCTACTACCGTGGACATGGCTAGCAAAGTTTTTGAACGACACAGCGTAAGCCTTGGCAGAAGGCGATGCGGGCGGGGCGGGGAAAAACACAAAGAAAAAGAACTAGATGGAAAGAACGGAGAAAGGTGCTACGACGAGAGCTCGTCAGCGAAAGGACGGAGATAGACGGAGATAAGCACTAGGAACACTAGTCGAGTCCTCCCCCAGCTTTACGCGATTCAAATGGTGTACGTAGTGCGGGTTAAAGGAAGAAGCTCAGAAAGATCAGAAAGATGAACCTTCCTTGAAGTTTCCCTGTTTCCGAGAAAAGAGGAAAGGGGGGGGGGGGGAAGCACGGTGAGAGAGGGGTTTGAGTGTTGCAAAAAAAAAAAAAAAAAAAAAGCACTGAAAGAAAAACAAGCAAACCAGAAGGGAAAAATCAAACATAGGAACCAGAAGGGAAAAATAAAATATAGGAACCAGAAGGGAACAATAAAATATAGGAGTGGTGGGGCGCGCTGCGGCTTCGCTCACAATCACAGGGAGGAAAAAGAACCACCAAAAAAAACGTGAGTCGGCGTTCATCAAATGTCAAAAATGCAAGGGCGCAACGCAATACGCTTCTGCTTCAGCACGTCCATGAGGTTCTATGCGCTGTAATTAATAAGTAATAATATTCTACTGCATTTGCCGAATTTGTGAAATTTGTTATTTTTAAGTTATGTTACTAGCCCTACACCATTTGCTCTTTTTCTTTTCCTTTTTTGTCATTTTTCCTTTCTTATTGTCGCATTCTCTCTTCTCTTTTTTCATTCTCGTTTTTTCTCTTTTCTTTCCTTTGACCGCCTGCAAACTGACGTCGTGAGGGGGAAAAAGCCGAGTAAATACTTATATCAAATCAAAGCGAAAGAAGTACAAACAAAAAGAAAAAACAGCAATTCACGAAAATAGTAAATTAAGGCCTTGTATAACATTGACTGTCATGTTCTGATCTCGCGCAGCAGCGTGCATCAATCAATATAGCAAAAACGCCTAGCTTATCGTAAAGCTTAGCTTTTTTTCTTTTTTCTTTTTTTTTTCTTTTTTTTTTTTTGAGGAAAAGCTTAGAGTTTCGTACTTAAGAATATCTTTTTACTTGTGCCATAGAATAGCTTAGCTAAAAAACATAGTCGATGGAATATAGGAATTCAACGTTCTACCCCAATTCCGTGAACTTCTTTGGGCAAATTAACTATTTCAGTATTAGACCCACTACCGCCGTTCACCATCGTGTGCCATAATTGACGTTCTGATTAGAGAACAGATGAGACTAACAAAAACGCAAAAACAACCGTGATGAGACGAGGAAGACACTGTGGTCGACGGGGGAGGAAACGGTGGGTAAATGTGATTAACGACACCGAGGACAACGGGGCCAAAAAAAAAAAAAAAAAAAAAAAAAAGCAGAAGAAGAAGAACAGAGAAAACAGTGGCCATAGGCTGCTTCTCGTACGAGCATCGACAAATTCTCATAACTTCTCCGCATTGTCTGTTCTCGGCATGAAACGCGCAACGGGCCAAGAAAAATAAGCAGAAGAAAAAAAGCAAAAGAAGAAGAATCGAAGAAGGAAGAAGAAAAAGTACAGTTCTCAGCATGAAACGCGCAACGGGCCAAGAAAAAACAGCAGAAGAAGAAAAAGCAAAAGAAGAAGAATCGAAGAAGGAAGAAGAAGTTCAGTTCTCGGCATGAAACGTGCAACGGGGCCAAGAAAAAAAAAGAAAAAAAAAAGAATAATGAAAACAGTGGCCATAGATTGCTTCCCGCACACGCATCGACAAGATATTTCAATACTTCTCCGCATGTACAATTCTCAGTTGAAATCGCGCAAATTCCCCGACGCTTTTCGGCTAATCAGGCTGCTGCGCTCCTGGCACTCACTCCTCCTGGGGCTTCTACCCAGATCCACCTTCCTTGCGGGACCACCACCCAACATTCCGACCAGTTTGTGAATAAAGGACCGACGGCTTTGCCCTCCTCTTAGATATACTGATCCTCTGTATCTACAGGCGTAAGTAGTCACACACGCTTGTCATCGTTCTACTGCGTTGGTCAGGGGAGATAAGCAGGCAAACGGAGAGAGAAAAAAAAGGAGAGGCGGAAAAGTGACAGAAAAGAAAGTGCACGTCGAACAACAGGAAGTAGAAAGAACAACAGAAAGAAGAGGTGGGAGGAGGACAAAGACACGGAGATCAACATTCCAGCACTGAAGACGGGGGAAAAGGTAACGGTAAAAGTCAGCTTCTGTATAGCGTGAGAGGGTTGATTCAGATGTGGAAACAGGAAAAAAAAAAAAAAAAAAAAAAACAGGGATCCAAATAAGAAGCGTACGGGATTGAGCACATCCCTCTCGGGAAAGACGGGGGACCTTTCATCACCTAGCATCTATCTTGAGAGTGATGAGAAATCGCGCGGGAAAAAAAAGCAAGAATCGCGCGGGAAAAAAAAAGCAAGAATCGCGAGGGGAAAAAAAAGCAAGAATCGCGCGGAACAGTAGCCGAGATAGGAGACAGCGAGGGACAAGTTTTGCAGGATCGGGAACTCGAAGGAGTGATGGGGATCTCGCGGAAAGCACCCAACAAGAGACAGGAATGCAAACGGCGATGAGAGGAGTGGAAACAGCGACGAGGAGTAGAAACAGCGCCCAGAAGCTAGCAATCGCGAAGAGAAGGGACCAACTGCCTTCCGTACACGCTGCTTCAAACGCTCCTCAATACATAGCCGCACATACGCAAGCTGAGTATAGTAGGCGCGTCTATGAATTGAAGAACTTATGAAGCGTGTACGGAAAGCAGTTGGCCTTTTCGAAGCGTGTACGGAAGGCAGTTGGTCACTGTTTTCACTATTCTTCTTCTCCTCCTCCTCCTCCTCCTCCTCCTCCTCCTCCTGGGTCTGCTCGTCCGGTTATCATAGGCGACGCCGTGTGGCGCGCTAAGATTGCCCCCTCACCTTCTTCTCGTTGTCTAGTTGTCGTATGCGCCGCCGCATGGCATGCTTAAAGTCCTTCCAAAACCTCTTTGCTCTTCTTCTCCTTCCCCCTCCCCCCCCTCCCACACCCACCTCGTCTGGTTATCACATACGTCGACAGGCAGCGCGCTTAACATCGCCCTCCGCCACCTTCGTCTTCCCCACTTCCTTCTTTTCTTCTTCTTCTCCTCCTTTTCCTTCTCCTCATCAGACTTTCAACCGCGCCACCAATGTGCGCGCTTTAATTCAAGCCCTTAGTTTCTCCTGACACTTTTCCTTTTCCTTTTCCTTCTCCTTCGTCTTCGTCTCCCTCCTGGTCTGATTGTCAAATGCGCGGCCACGTGGCACGCTTAAGATCGTCCTCCACCCTCCCTTCTTCTTGTTCTTCGCATCTTCCTGCTCGTGTGATCGTTGACTGTGCCGCCACGCGGCGTCACGACAAGCGCGCGGCGCGCGGTAAGGCATCAGAGGCCCGTTGGGGCCTACCAGGTGGACTCTGGAGGGCCTTTTTTTTTCAAAACAGGAAAAAAAAAAAAAAAATGTTGAGCTCCCTTTTTCTTTTTCTTTTTCTTTTCTTTTCTTTTCTTGTTCTTTTTTTTATTTTAGGGTGCTTACCCTTATGAGATTCCCTCCCACCCATCTTTCGTCAATCCTCCTCGGCAAAACCCTAATCCCAAGTGTCTACCACTCAGGACCATCACCCTTCTACCATCATGATGGAATGACAGGACCTGGACAGCAGTCATAGGCACCAGGGATGAGCAGGAACCCCACTCAGCCCTGGTGGAAGTATGGTTCAAGGAGCGTTGTTGTGGGGGTACTTGGGGTGCTAGGCATAAGATAGGACGCATGCATAGACCCATAATGGCACCCCTTAGCCAAGGTCTAACCTATGACACCCCCTGAGCAATCCAGGCATAGCCACCTAGCACGGCTGTTATCAGTTATTCTGGTTGTTTCTAATTACGACTTAGAGGTTCAAGCCTAGTAACAACAGATGTACAACCACCGCCCCTATCTAACCACTTTGCAGTAATATTGTTTGTTGTTTTGAATCTGGAGGTACCCTAGCCTACGTCATTTGTAGGTCAACCACCATCCGTCCCCTAGCCTCGGTCATCAACTAGATCCCTCCAGCCTGTTATAGTTGTATGTTCTTATCACCCAGAGCACCACTGATGTCGGTCATCGGTAGATACTAGGCCGACATCGGTCATCGGTAGATACTAGGCCATCATCTGTTCCTCATGCCTCTATCATGAACCAGACCTACTCTGGCCTATTTGTGACAAGAGAAGCGGACAATCCCAGCACTGTCTAAACCCAGTAGGACCCCTATGGGAACCCCCTTCCTACCCCTCTATCCCACACTGTAAATCCCCCCAAGAGGGGGCTATCTCAACCCCTCTGAAAGTCGATAATGACATGACATCCTACGCTACCCCACATGCAACCTTACCCCCCCTAAAGCAAAGACCTAAGGTAACAAAGTACGTAATTAGAACCTTCACTACATCCCTAGCTACATCCTACCTTCTTAACCCAAAAAAAACGTACGTATGTTCTATTCGAATTACCTTTGAAAATCGGGTTTTCAGAAATTGCTTGTTCTTCCCCGAATAGAACGTACGTTCGAATATGACGTACGCACGTTGTATTCGAATACAACGTATGTATGTTGTATTCGAATTTTTGGAACTGGGATTTTTTAAAAATAATCAAAAAAATCCAAAAAACAAAAAATGTTATACAACAATGCAATACAAACAACGTTTGCCTGAGGGTCTTATCGAAATTCACGAGAAAATTCGAGAAAAAAATAAAAACGAGGATGAAAATGTGTTTTACCAATTTTTTCAGAATTTTGATTTTTTTTAAAAAAAATCAGTAAAAAATCCGAAAAAAAAGTATGTTGTACAACATTGTAATGCAAACAACTTTTACCGTAGGGTCTTGGGAAAATTCCCAACCAAATTTGAGATAAAAATAAAAACAATTGCGGTACTACAGATTTATGAAAAGTTGTACCATAAAACTCGTTCTATAACGTACGTACGTTGTATTCAAATACAACGTACCCCGTACATTGTATTCGTATACAAGGTACGTACGTTTTTTTCGGGTTAAGAAGGTAGTTATCTCCATGTCATATGATATACCTGCCCGATTGGATTAAAACCTTGTATCTCTTACGTACAACATGTATGATTCAAACCTTTTACCTCTTAAGTACAACATGTATATACGTTGTACTAAAATGGGGGACGTGTAAGTGAGTTGTCAGCCATTCACCAATTGATCTTCTACAGAGGAGGTTAAGGGATGATAAAATTGAACCCACAACATCCTCATTGCAATGCTATTTTTTTTTTCCCACTGAGCTACCACATCCTGTCCAATTGTTGGGCTCTCTTCTTTTCACTCAAAGGGAAAGGCATCCATCGTGAAGGTTGATGAAATCAAATTCGCAACCTACTTATTGAAATGCTATTTTTTTTCACCCATTGAGCTACCACATCTTGTCCAATTTTTGGGCTCCCTTTTTTTCACGCAGAGGGAAAAACATTCATTGTGCAATATTTTTCAGCAAGAGGTTATTAACGGAGGTCCGGATTTTATAAACTTGTCGTAAGAAAACCCAAAGTCATTTTGAATCAAACTTATCACTCATACAGAGAGTAAGCACAATACTAAAAAAAAAAAAAGGGGGGGGGGGCTTAAAACTTAAAAGCAAAGATTCACTTTCGTGCGAAATTTGTTGAAATCTGTCAAACACTAAGCTACCACCCGGGACGTCCGGGTCCCGGGTGGCCAGCCCGTGCAAGGATCAGGTAAGGTCCCAGCAAAAAAAAAAAAAAAAAAAAAAATCCAAAAATTATAAAAAACAACTATGTTATGCAGAAAAACAGAAAAATAAACTGAACAACTTTTGCCTTAGGGTCACATCGAAATTCTTCACCAAATTTAAAATAAAAAATACAATTCAAAAATATTTGATTTATTTTTATTTATTTTTATTATTTTGGCCCGGTCGGGCAAGTGACCCCGGTCCACTTTGGTAGCGTAGGTCAAACATAAATTAAAAAAAAAAACAGAAATGTCCTCATTAACCGGTAATGGTTTTGTATGATTGTACCAAGGTGTTATCATGTTAACGATGATGTGTTTGTTACCGTATACGCAAGCGGTACGCTTTTTACTATAGACATTGTAACCTGGTCTCATTGGCATAATTAATAGCAGGTTGTCATATACTTATTAAAAAATAAGAATTAATATTTTTTACCAAATTAATATTTAATGGCCTATTAATTATCATTTTTTATCTAATTCGAGCCTTTTCTTTAGTTTCTAATTAATCTCTATATGAATTCATATTATAGATAAATTAACAACAAATAGTAAGCAAATAAAATTATCATCATGTAATAGTACAATGGATTAATTTTAAGTTTTCACCCCTATAAGTATATTATATGTAGTTAATGAATGTATGAAGGCGTTATATGTAATTAATAGATATTTGAAGGTCATAAAGTCGAAGAGGAAAGATTCGAACCTACACAAAAATGTAACCTTACAATAAGTTTACAATATATCAATTTTAACCATTTGGTCACTCGACTTATAAGTTTGCTGCTCTATCCAACTAAGCGAAGAATGCAACTCGTCCAAAAAAATCAGTGTTGTCTGAGCTAATACCCTTACAAGGGTATTCGTCCAAGATTTTGCAAGTCGCATGAGAGACTGTCGAAATTCTTAAAACGACTATATAGAATAGGCATCACCCTCACGGAAAGTGCATTGGCACACACACTTACCTTCGGTTCGCTTACATCATGACCGTAGTGGTTAAACCATCGGTCCCCCCGCTGTTGAAAACCTCTAGTCCCGGTGAGTTAGGGTCGGGTTGTACGGAGGGGTCAACGGGTCCAATCCCGCCATTTGCAAGCGACAACTTTCCCAATTTTTTGTGCTCATAAAAATTCACCAAAATGTTTGAAAATTTGAGGGTCCGTAGATTAGGTCGTGATCTTTCAGGAAAAAATATCAGGAAAAAATATATATTTTCACCATTAAATATTCGTCGCGCTGACTCGGTTTATTTCAATTTTTTTCCGCAAATTTTATTTTTGAGTCCCGCCCGGTTTTCCACACTGTACTATCAGTACCCGTTGTGAAACGACGCTACCGATACCCCTGACGTTTTCTGACATCAGGAGGACCAGTGGTTTAAGATGAATAAGTGAGATGAACTTGATTCCAGTGTGTGTATTATCATTGTGTGGGATATAGTTAAAAAAAAAATGGTTAAAATTATTAAACAGGTTGAGTGCGTCCTTGCAACAAGTGTTGGGATGCGGGGTAAAAATTGGTGTAGGACCAGATCGTATGGCGAGGGTTGTGATAAAGTTGGAAATGTCGTAACACAATAAAATTTATGCGACCATATGAGCGAGAGTGTTTGATCGGAAAAAAAAAACGACAATATTTTTCGGATGGATGGTGAAAAGCAAACAGTTAGAAGACTGAGAAAAAACTTTGTGCATTACGCAGCCTAATGGTGAATGTTTCATATAGTGGGATTCAAACCTAAACCTCCGAGTCCATCATATAAGTTAGTTACGTTATCTGCTGGTTTGGGCGTCCGGTCAAATGGAAGAGAGCGTCGTTTTTATTGGAGGCGTAATCGATAAAGAATTCTTTAGTGAACCGACTGGGAGGTGGCCCTGACGGTAACAGACCGGTAGGGGCAAGGTTTATGATTTTCTTTGTTAAGGCGATTGTTATTAAGCATTCAGTAGGTAACGAGTTTGAATTCTTACCTTTTCGTTTGTCCTTCGACTCATCCACCGAAATATGCGTGGTGCACGAAGAGATGGTGTGACCCTAGCGTAAAATGCGGGAGTGAACCATCAATTTTTTACATGTACTATCGTTTTTTTTTTTACTTTACTTTATTTGACTTTATTTTATTTTTTGTTATTTTATTTTATTTTATTTTTATTTTTATTTTCCCCCTGTCTATCTGAAAAAGCATTGGGACCATACCATTAGGTATGGTCGTACCTAGGTGAACAAGTCGAATCCCATTATCAAACAGTGTTGTGTCAAAGCACTACTTATAGGCATAGCTCAATTGATATGACATTCGTCGTATGCCTATCTTATTTGGTACACCCATGAACCATTGAAGCACGAGCTTGAATAAAAAAACAAACAAGTTTGTACACCTGTGAACTATTAAAGCACCAACTTAAGTTTAATTTCACGAACAATCAGGGAAACATAATTACTTGAGTCATATTAGTCTGTGATGATGCCTCAAGGTTATTGTTTTTTTGTATATCTGTTAAGATTATAACAATACACAAGAAGATTAACATAATCCCTATGATACATGAGGGGCGCATTAAGGTAGTAGGATGT